AACTCTGCCCTAGAACAGTAGTTGGTGAATGTCCACGTTGGTCAGTAAAATGGATCAGCATGTGGAACTGGAGCTCACCGTCTTTCCTATCACTGTATGAAACAAGCTCCATGCTGTCTTTATCGTTGGATTGTTGGAGGATGGAGGAGGATGGATTCCCCTTTTGAGTCTTGGTTTTCTTCCTCATGCTCTTAGGGAGATTTTCCTTGCCACTCATGAGGGCTCCAACCCGGATTGTTCTGTAAAGCTGCTTTGTGACAACACCTGTTGTAAAAAGCACTATATAAATAAACTTTGACTTGTCTTGACTTGACTATGGAAAACACTTATTGATCTGTTTTACTCCTTTCTGCAAGGCTTCAATTAGTTATTTTGCTAATGGTAAATGGATATTGATTCTGGTATTTTATTGCTAATTATCAAATGAAATATATTAATTCAAAATCTCATTCAAATTAAAATATTTTTAAAAATATTCAAATTCAAGGCTGAACTAAGGCACACTCAAAATAGGCTAACATTGCATTTTATGGCTACTGCAAAAAGGGAATTATCAGAGTAATATTTTAAGGCAGCTAAGGGGTGAAGTATATTCCTAGGGCTGTTACTTCATAAAAGCAGTAGATCAATGTGAGCATGTACCTTTTTAAAGTCTATCTATCTATCTATCATCTATCTATCTATCTATCTATCTATTACATGCAATTTAGTCCTTTTCTTTCTTTCTTTATTTAATACATAAAGTTGCATGTGTGCTGTATTTCCTCTATAGCTATTTACTGTTTCATTGTGTTTACCTTTAACATTTACTAATCTCTTTGTTTCTGATGAAAATTATTTAAGTATTATCTAAGCATTAATTCATTTTTATTCTTGCATGCAAAACAGTATGATTGAGGTGGTCGAGGAGGACGTCATTTAGGACCCCCAAAAGTTCAAAAATGATCCTGTTCTTATGTTTGCATGCCCAAAATGTCTGACACAAATACATAAAACTTTGGATTCAAACTAAAGGCAACGACAGCATAAAAATCACAATATTAAAGAAGAAAAGTGCAATAAAAGCCAAAAAATAATTTTTTGGTGCCTCAGCATTAAAAGGTTAAATAGAAACGGTACACAACCGTGGGTCAGTGAAAAATACACGGGTCAACCTTAGAATTGGACTAATCTACATTTATTGGAGATTTTTCTTTGAAAAACATCTTTAAAATAGAGCTACACTTTTCTGAACCTGCAGTGCTGTGAGTTAAATTTGAATCATTGTAATAGTGGTTATATAAACAGTGAATTCGGCTGTAATGGACACAAATTATTGCAATTATTAGCAAGGAATGCTGCACTATACTCTGCTATATTGTAGTAAGAAACTATGAAATATTGCTGTCAACTATTAAACAGTCTATAGTATTGGCTACACTCTGCAGTGGGATTTTAATGATCTTTTAAGGTGAAGAAATGAGCACGAACTGCCTCATTAGCTGACAGATGGTGATTGTTTTGCGCGCAGCAGTAAAGAGGGCACGATGCCTACTTGCTAAAGGCTAAAGGACCATTATGGCTGTCTCAGCATTGTATAGGTCACATGATCTCCTGAGGCTCCAGTTCCCTTCCTCCTGCAGCCGCTCTGTGAAAAATGAAACAAATGGGACAGTTCTCAGAGTGACTCAGCGGATTAGCCACGCTGACTCTGGAATGTGATGTGTGACACAGGACCTGCAACTGTAATCATTTTTTGGCTTAAGCTGCAATATTGGATTGAGCTGAAGGCTGCAGGGTTGATTTATACGCAGAGGTGCAGGGTGGGTAAACGGGGGGCTGTCACAATCTGCTTACTCTGCAGACTCCAATCATTTCAGCTTTAGGAGACTCTCTCTCTCTCTCTCTCTTTCATTGCCTTTCTCTATCTCCTTCTCTCTTCACTGCCTTCCACTCTCTTTTGCTGTGTCTCTCAGTCTCTCTCACTCTTTCTCATTCTGTCTCTCAATGTCTGTCTGTCTGTTTCTCTCTTTAGCTTTCCTTCTGCATCTCTCTCTCTCTCTCCGTATCCTTCTCTATTTTACTTTCTCTCTCTGTCACTTGTTCATTCTTTTTACTTTCTCTCTCTCGGTCCCTATCCTTCTCTTTGTCTATAAATCTTCCACTCTCTTTCGCTGTCTCTTTGTCTCTCTCTCTCACTCTATCTTTCTCTCTTTCTCTTAATGTCTCTCTGTCTGTTTCTCTCTCTTTTGCTCTCCTTCAGTTTCGCTCTCTCACTATCCTTCTCTCTTTTACTCTTTCTCTGTCACTTGTTCATTCTTTTTCACTTTCTCTCTCTCTCGCTCCCTGTCGTTCTCTGTCTATAAATCTTTTTTCACTCTTTCCCTTTTCATCTCTCCATCATCCCATCTCTTTCACTCTGTCTATCTCTCTTTTATTCTTTCTCTGTCTTTCTTTCACTATCTTTCTATGTCTCTTTTCATTCTCTCTCTCTCTCTCTCTCTCTCTATCTATCTATCTATCTATCTTTCATGCTAATGGCTAATATAGGCCTCATGTTACCTCTCTTCTTCTCCCTCCCTTTCTTCTCAGCCATCCTCAGTGCTCTCCCTTAAACAGTCTGCTGTGTGTGCCTCGTTCCTTGTCTTTACCTTTATATGTGATTAAACCAGAACGCAGGTAAAGATTATGTTCAACATTCAGCTACAATGTACATACATACAGTTACGTACAGTTACTGCAACCAGTGCTCTGTATGTACAATACACAGCAGCTCAGCACACAGTGTAGCACTCATCTGGTAAGAGAGTCTCATTTCACTTGCCTACATACTAGAAATCCACACAGGCATCAACAACATTGTAGACAAGGTGAAACAGAGACGTTGGAGATGGTTGGGCAACGTCCTATGGATGAGCAAGACCAGGCACCCACATGCTGCACTCAGATGGGAACCACCAGGGAAGAGGAAGAGAGGCAGGCCACTGGGCACATGGTGGAGAACAGTGGAAAAAGAGATGGCAGTGGAAGGCAAGACCTGGGAGGAGATCCACCGGCTCGCTGAAGACCACGATGGCTGGAGAAGATATATTGGTGCCTTATGCTCCAACTAACTAACATACCAGAAATCTTGCTTTATATTATTTAACATATTACAGTATGATGCTTTCTGCTCTGCAGTGATAACCTTTCACTTTAAAATGACATTTTTGATCTTGTACGCTATGCAGTGGGTGTGGTGCATGGCTTGGTGCCCAGTCAGTGTTCCATTACCCAGCGTGCTGCCTCCAGTCCAGCCACAGCGTTGTGTTACAGCAGACTTTGACCTTGACGTTAATAGCTTTGACGGCTTCACTGTTCCTGATGGAAAGATTTTGCTTTCACTGTTGTTGTTGCTGCTGTTTCCTTACTCCAGACATTTCCTCTTCATCCTTCTCTACTTTTGCCTTTTGTGAGACATTATTATTAGTAGTACTGTTTCTGCTAGTAACTTCCCCATCTTTCTCATAGTCAGACCACCCTTCATTTATTTAATTACGGTTAAAACAGCCGAGAAAAAAAAGCAGAAAACAGAAGCCTTGAATACAAATATAATAGCAAAATTTTCCGCATTTATTTTGTCCACTCTTTGCATTAATTGCAGCTTTCATTCTTTTCGGGAGACTCGTTTTCAGTTTCTCAAAGAAATTTGCAAAAATATTTTTCATACCTCCAAAGTTCAGTCTTAGAAGTTGTTTGAATTTTCTGCTTCTCACAATCCAAGTAATCTCAAACACATTCAGTGATGTTGAGGTCTGGACTCTGGAGTGGTCAGTCCATTGTTCAGCTTCTTTGTTTGATGTGTCCATCTCCTTTTCTCAGTGAGGTTCTTCTTGACAGCTACACATCCTTTCAGACCCATAGTGCTGAGTCGTCTTCTCACAGTGGAAGATGAAAAGAAATGGACCGGCCTTTGCACCCATGTTTAGCCTCCATATGAGTTCTTTGGGGTTCACCTTTGGCTTCCCAACAAGCGTGGCTCAACCTGACCCAGGCCGACACCACCTCTTTTATCTCTCTTCTTAGTAATGCAGACAAAAGGGCCCAGAATGCATCAAGAAGAGTTCAGTAGAATATTAGACTTTTTGAGTATTCATTCACTGAAAGACTCCTCATTTAGTTCATAAAGCAGTTTTGCAAATACATTAGGCCTGTGTTTCAATCCAGTTTGCTCTCACATTAGGTACAAACACCATGAGAAAATGGTACATCACTCTTTAACCCATTAAATGGCCAAGGAGCCCTAAGTGGGCCCTAAGTTTTATTACACCCTTCTATAAGAATAGTTCAGCCAGTTTTGCACTGTAGTTGCACTGAAGTGCCTGCAGTTACTAAAAAATAAGCCTTAGTATGTAATAATGCTGGGATTTAAGGGATTAAAAGCTGAAAGTGTGCAGGTACATGCTTAGTCTTGAAGTGGAATAAAGTGAGAGGAGGATTTCACACAGATCAGGTCACTCTCCAGTATTATCCTTGTCATATTATGAACTTTTTTTTACAGTTTGATATATGTAAATGTTGTTAACATATTTCATTACATACCATTCACCATTCTCAGTACATACAGTCCATATTTAGAAGCTAAGCTGGTAAAACAGCCCATTTTGTGATGTCCTAACCATGATCAAATTACCATATATCCATCCATTCAGCCTACAGCAGTTTAGCCCTGTCCATTCCCATTAAAGTGCTGTGGGGTGTTGCTACTGCAACACATCTGAGGAAAGTCTGAAGTTTACTTGAGCGTAACATATTTTTCTGTAGATTCCAGCTTAGACTACTTCTAGGGGACAACACCAAGGCAGCCAATCAGAACAGAGGTCATTTACACATGTCAGTGTTAAAGGCACAGTAACAAAGAAATCTTAATTCTAAAGGATAAAGAGATCATGTCATGTAAATATAAATTAGGACACAAAACCACAAAAATGTTGCAAATTAACCTCTCTCTCTCTCTCTCTCTCTCTCTCTCTCTCTCTCAGCCTCTCCCTGCCATGCATGGGGGCGGAGCTGTGCGCCTTCGTCGTGACCTGCGTGACTCGCTGCCTTACGAAGCCCAGATGATGTCCTATCCCACTGCTGACTTCAAGGGGCGGGGCAATGAGCTGTACTACCAGCCAGAGGCGGTGAGGGCACAGGGGCTGGGCCAGGCCCTCCAACGGCTGATGGAGAACGACCAGCGGCGGGAGCAGGAGGCGGCGTATCTGGCAGGTCTGCTGCGCCTCCTGAGCGAGGCGGAGAATAATGGCCAAGGGAAACAGGAGCAAGAGGAGGAGGAAGAAGAAGGAGACTTCCAAGGGCCGTACCCTCCAGACTACGATGAGACGGAGCAGACAGTCAGCATGGCTAAGCCACAGGCCCTGCTGGACCCACAGCTGGCCGAGGCTCTGCTCAACCGCTACAGGCAGGAGAGGCTGATTCAGTCTGGGCTTAACCCAACTCCCAACCGCCTCCCAGACAGAGAGCAGGAGAGGGACCAGGAGGTGCTTCGGTGAGGAGACACATCATCAAATGTCTGAGTTTAGTTAAACAGTGTCAGACACCACATAAGCAACTTTATATGGGGTTACTGAAGGTTTAAGGCAAGTGTGTGATGATGCAGTTTGCACAGAGCAACACTAAATAAGCACACACCAAACATGCCTTGGCTGATTGACTACATTTGGGGTTTTGGGGTTTGAGCTTTTGGCCAAATCATTGCTTTAAACTTCTTTTAGGTTTAGTAGTTCTTTTGGACCATGAATATGATGTAATACAATATATACACTGTACTGTACAGCACAGTACTGTGCAGAATTCAATTTCCAGTACACGTACAAGTCATTCACTTTTTAACGTCAAGAATAAAAGCAGAAAACATGTTTTTAACAGGATATTACACACTAGCCTCAAAAACATAATAAAATATAAAATCCATTCTTTTCAGGAGACTTGCTTTCAAAACAGTGATATTAGGAATCTTCCAAAGTTCAGTCTTAGAAGTTGGTTGCATTTTCTGTTTCTCACAATCCAAGTGATCCCAAACATTCAGTGATGTTGAGGTCTGAATTCTGGAGTGATCTGCAAATTATGTTCTTTTTTGTCTATGTCCTGTACTCAGTAAGAGTTTCCTGACACCTACACATCCTTTCAAACACAAAGCTTTGAAACACCTGTGGATTTTATCAGATCTGAAGCAGCTTCATTTTCTCCTCTCTCTCAAAGATGAAAGCGAGTGCTGTGAGTGCTGTTTATCTGATGGAGTCAGTTTTGGTGGTCAACCAGGCCTTGAGGCCTTTTCTATATATCTTTTAATCATTTTTGAACTCCACACTCAAAAACATAGAACTAAGTTGGTATTAATTGAATTTACATGTTTATAAAATGTATAAAAGAACATGAATACCCCAAACGCTGAATCAGCCAAAATCAACCAAGTCAAATAAGAGAATGAACAGTATTTTTCCAACCTCACAGATTTCCACCTGGTATCATGAGACACATACCCAAATAAATAGGACTTTTTTGTTGATTTCTTGAATTCAAAGATTTTATTGGCTCCATATTGGGTGTGTATTTCCTCTTGTTTTACTTACCATCTCTATGTTGTCTGCCCTACTTTGCTTTCTTACCTCATTCTATATTTAATTCCCTCATATCCATATTTACATTCTACATTGAAGTTAATTGCCAAGCTTTGTTCTTGTTGGTGTTCCCACATTCTCTGTTGTTGACTGTGGTTCTAAAATAACTGGGCGTTGCAATCACCACTTTTAAGCCAACTAGTGAAATAAGTTAATCCAGCATAAGTTAACCCCCTAACAAGCTATGGGTTTTATTACACACTTCTATAACCTAAGAATAGCTCCATTAGTTTGCATTGAAGTCCCTGTACTTACTAAATAATAAGCATTATATTAACCTGGATTGTTAAGGTGTTAAATTAATACGAGTAAAGTTGGAGTTGGAAACATGAAAGCAGATGAAGTTTAGACAATTTGACCCCTTAGAAGTCCAGGCTTATTACATACTCAGGTTTATTATTCAGTAACTACATGGACTACCATGCAAACAGGAGTTATCCTTAGGTTATAGAAGTGTGTAGTAAAACTTTGGACATGCTGGTGGCCATTTAAGGGGTTAAGTAAATTATCTCGGACCAAAAAATGACCTTATTTTGAAAGAGAGACATTAATTTGTGTGTTGATACTTTCCACAATTCAGTTAAGCTCAGATAAAGAATAATTTGTTTGCAGCGCAGGTTTTGGAAACTCCTGTTTTTTTTTTATATTTGCAAGTGGATTATTTTATATCTAATCTACTCAGAAGTATCTACTGAAAAATCAATAACTTGTCTTTAATTGAAAATCAAACAAAGGGTGATTTTCACAGCACTGTATATTAATTCACACTGACATTAACTCTGACCTTGAAACTGACAGCCATTGTTATAAAAATGAGTTGTAGGCTTATTAGTTGGAGAATGGAAGACCTCATGTGTGTTTCTGATGCTTCACTCAGGTACCTGGTTGAGAAAATCCTCTCCAGTCTGGCTCCAGGGAACCAGCCGAGCCCCTCCAACCGCCGAGCCAAACGGGACGTGAGTGCGGTGGCCAGCGTTGGACGGGGAGGGGCTTCCCTGAGACGATCCAGACGCTCTGTGGACTCCGTCCCCATCCCCTCGCCCAGCGCCGAGGCCTCACTGCTGCGGGTGAAGAGGCTGGGTGACGAAGAGGATGATGAAGGTTTTGCTGCCCAGAACAACAGATCACCCCACGCCGGCCTGCAGAGGATGAAGCGCATCGACACAGACATGCCGCCCCCTCCGAAACACAGCCGCAAACGCCGGGCGGTGACCTACGACCCCAGTGTCATCGCTCAGCACATCCTACAGTACCTACCAGCATAGAGAGAGAGAGAGGAAGAAAAAGAGAGAGAGAAAGAGAAGCAGAGAAAATCAGCCGATTATGATTATGATTGCAGGATTTCACATGCTGACATATATGCGACAACTCACTGTCAACTGCCTATGTCCAGCAATGTATCTGCTTCAGCGCTATAATAAATCATAAACACATTTACTTATCAGTGCTTCATGCTACATGTAAGCAGAATGGGATTTTTATGAGTTTGTATTAGATGTTTCAGAAGTGTTTAAGATTTGGTTAACAACATTGGTTCCCTTCTGCCAAATCTTGACCTTTAAGACCAAATTTCTTAAGCAGAGTTTCTAGACATGCACTAGAAGCGCATGACGTAAACATTTAACATTGATTGTCTCTTGAAACTTTAGCTACAACTAAGAAATTCACCACTGTCTTGTCTTTGAGGAGTACCCTTAGGGCATCGAGCCTTTTATCCGTTCTAAATGATGCAGTATTTTGTAGCTAGAAGTTAATTATACTGAAGAAAACCATCAAAATAGGTCCTATCCTGAATCCCTACAACCCAATGCTTGAGCCAAAGTTAAAAACCAAAGTAGGTTTAGAAATAAGGATAATTTCGTCCAAAAAAATACTGCGTAATTGCATGAGTGCGTTTGTTTGTGTTGCATTGCTTTTGTGTCCTCTGTCCACCACATTTCACCATATAAGGCGCTAAAATGCAATTTCTTCCCAGACAAGCAGAGCTTACAGTCTCTTATCGATTGCTCTCTCTGGCACACAAAGGTCCAGCCACCAAGCACATTAATCCACCAAGTGTTACTGTTGCTGGCGCCGACACTCTGTTCTCTCCATGTCCTTAGAGTCCTCCTGTTATTACACAGCAGCAAATGGTTCACAGTGGTATTTCACAAAGGTTTGGCTGGTTAACTTAACCCAAAAGTCAAGATTTCATGCTGAAAAAAACAACACACACCAGCATGAATTCCATACTGGTCTGAGCTGGTTTATGCTGGCTTATCCAAAACACAGCATATTCTGGTTTTGCTGGTGACCAGCCATGCTGACCTATGCTGGTTTTCCTAGCAGGTTTGCTCAATAGGAGAACAGATAATGAACTTTCCTGATGGGCCTTTTTCACTTTTGGCTTAAATTATCTAGCTGAAAGATTTGAAATATCTCCCTAGCAGCAGTAGCAGGCCAACCATTACATATCGAAACAGATTTGTGCTTAAAATACTCAAATTAGTAACATTTTGACTATGAATTCTAATTTGGCTGCTTAGGGAAAGCTAACAAACACCAGTTAACATGTAGCATAGCGCCTGCTAGCTTTTATTGACATAGTTAGCATTTTTGGAGGGACTTTTCTTAAAAACCACACGTAAGGCAGGTGCGATATTCCACTAAAACCTCTTTATTGGCCACAGGGTGACATTTTTGGCACATACATATGATCACATTTGAGTGACGAACACAAAACACCACAGAGTTCACATGCGAAGATGTCTGGTTCTGTCTGATTTAAGCCGTAAGAAGTTTTTTGGGCGTTTGTGCAGTTTGGTAAGCTATAGATGATGACACGGTACAGAATCACACACTGAGATGAGCAAAAATGTAACGAAGAATACTGTCCACTACATTAAACAATGTGATAATAAAGTAATGTATATGAAGTCATTCACAAGCAGCACCAGTGAGTCACAGATTTGCTCTTTCTCACAAAATAAGCTTCTTGAGGTTTAGGCCATGAGCAGTGCTGAGGGCGAAATTATTTTTTCCCACATCTGTTCAGACAAATTCCACCTCCTGCGTTAGGATTGGCTTGTAGTATCTTGCCATTTGTGCTAGCATGGGCTAGCAGGCGAGAAACTAATAACCAAATCAAGCGTAGAGGGCAAATTTCAGTCGTGCAGATCAATCCCCAGGCTGGGCAAGGCCTCAGCTTGGGTGGAAGTTATCCAGCTAGCTAGGGAGTTACCTAAGTTAGCTAGCTAGCTAAAGTGCTGGAGGTAATTCACATCAGGTGCAAAAGTTTGCACAAATGAACTGTAATAATCAAATTAAATAATTATAATTAAATAAAGTTGGAGATCACTTTTTCAGTGTTTCTTAGCTAGCTAAACTCGCTAACTTGGTTGAGAGTGTAGCCAAACCTAACCTAAACACTTACAATTTGAATGAACAATTTACATTGGCTAATGTGGTTGAAAAAGTAACTAATCCCATCTTAAACTGTTTTACCTAATGTGCCTCCTTACCAATACTTTAGCTAGATACTAGCTGGCTAATATTTGCCCAAGTGGGCAACTTCCGACCAAGGTTTTGCCCAGTCTGAGGCTTGGTCTAAGGGGCTTCAGCTAAAAACAACTGGACTGAATACAGGCTGGAATAAAATAGCATAATCCATTTCACTAACAGGCCTTGTTAGGAAAACCTAACCCTAACGCAATTTTCTGCTAACAGGTGCAGTAAAATCAGTTACTCAAACATATATCAGTCAATTTGACATATATACTATATTGCCTTGTTTAATGTAGTGGAGAATATTCTTCATAACACTGGTCCTCGCCTCAATGTGGGTGGTTGTAGAATCTATAACTAACCACACGCCAACTTAATCTTAGCACAGAACAAGAAAACAATAATCCAAGTGAGGTCTCTGCTCTCTCTTTCTCTGAGCTCCCATTACTGTTTCTAAAAAACTAAATTCTTGACTAAACTCTGTGTGGGAAAGTCGCTGTTGTTCTCCCCTCCCTTGCTTTCGCCACTGGCTTTAGTGCCTGATGTGCCAACCAAACTTAACGCTGGCTGCGTTTTACACGGCACCTTTCAAATCCCTCTCTGATTTACTGTACAGCAGAGTTTGTGCAAGAAAAACTGCCTTTTACACTATATTATAGCTTTATGTTTCCATTGCTGTGCGGCCATGAAATCTTGTATCAAAAAATGCACAGATTTTATTGTAAAATCAGTTTAAGTTAAATAAATTGTATGTGAACAACCATTTTTTCTGGCTTGTTTGTGTGGTTTTGTAGTACAATGGCACTGTCTTTAAAGCTAGCATTTGCTCATTAGCTGACTTTACACTGAAAAAATACATAATTTTGTCTAATTTCTGCATAATAAACCAACCATTACTTACTATAAACACATATAAACCCTCCCAAATAAAAACATTCCAGAATTACAACAGGGTTATTTGGCATTTCTTTCATTTTAGTTCAGTCGTCACACTGTGTATGCTACATACAGCTTCTAAAAATCTGACTCAGTGCTATTCAGAATTTCTCAAAAGCACCTTCATGTGACAGTTCCACCTTGAATAAAACGATCAGACCCTCTCTATTTGCTAAAAAACAGCATTTATGAAACATATTACTAAGTAGATCTACTGTTAGTATTGCTTATGTTCTACATTCATCAGTAAAATACTGTGAGTAATATGTTTAGGAGACTGTAGCATGCACCACACTGACTGAACTGACTGTAAGACAATGCAAAAATCTGAAATACATATAATAAACAGCAAACAGACTAACAAATGATGACAAAATACTTCTGATGGTCTTGATCAGGGCTGTCGCTATGGATTATATTAATTTTCAAGTAATTTACCATTTATTCTGATAATTAATCAAGTCTTTTCAAATGCACATCTCTTCAAAGATTCCAGAAAACTATTGGAAACAGATAAGATTTAAAAAGAAAAATCCAAATAGATATAAATGGGTGTGCCAATCAGACTCTTGTTTCTTACTATGAGACCAGCAAGAGAATTTATAACCTGCATATCATCATACAAATGAACTAATCATAGTAGATTTTTTTTTAATCAAGTAATCGAGTCCAATCACATAATTGTGACAGCCCTAGTCTTAACACACAACAGTGCAGTGGATCAATATACCATAAAATTTGTTATTTTTACTGTTATGAAAAGCATCATTGACATTGGATGGGTACACAAGGAAGAACCAGTGAGGCTGGACATTCTAACGACCTTCAGTCCCTCAGTCTCCGCTGACAGAGGCCACTGCGGAGAGGGAATAATGTCTCTCCCTCTAGAGCTGGAGGATTCTGAGGCTGGAGGATACAGTTGCCAGGTGACCGTTGCCAGGTGACTGTTTCTATGCAGAGTGATTATGTAAGCCGAGCAGTCAGGGTGATGTCATGCTGAGGGAGAGGACAAATCGAGCTCTTCTCACATCATCTTTCTTTCTCTTAGGGAAGAGAGGGTATGATGAGAAGGGAACCATCTGAGAGAGCAAGAGAAGGAGCAAAAGAGAGAGAGAGAGAGATCAGCCACGGATGAAAAGAGCATAATGGAGGAAGATTAAAGCAGTGGGGGGTGGCAGGCGTAATGGGATAGGGAAAGAAGTTAGGAAATTGAAAATAATGAGAGGAAGGAGTGGGAGGAGAGGGAGACAGACATCAAAGTTAATCATCTCGCATTTCAGAAAAGAAAATCACACGATGCTTCCTCCTGATGTTAAAGCAGCGGCTCTTTGGTTAAAATACATATAATACATTTACTTTGTTGCTCCACACTGAAATCAAGAGCAGACCGACTGAAAGCCATCATACCTGATGCATTTGCTCCATCAGTGACTTATGCCTCCAATAACAGCCCAGTCACTGAGGAGGAAGAGAAGAAGAAGCTGTCATTAATGAAGGTAAAATATATATAGAGAGAAAAATATAGAAACTAACTACTGCAGCATTTCTGCACTAAATGTAGGGACTATACATATCGCTGCTGTTGGAAGAAAACTTCGTATCTCCATTTTTGTCGTTTTTCAGTTTTTGACACAATTTGAGAATGCCTGTTGTGTGTGTGTGTGTGTGTGTAGCAACACAATTTTTTTACCATTACATATAACATACATTCACCATCCACTTCTTTAAGTACACCTCCCTTGTATCTACACTATTTGGCCATTTTCTCAGCTCCACTTACTATATAGGTGCACTTTGTAGTTCTACAATTACAGACTGTAGTCCATCTGTTTCTCTGCATACTTTATTAGCCCCCTTTTACCCTGTTCTTCAGTGGTCAGGGCCCCAACAGGACCACCACAGAGCAGGTATAATTTGGGTGGTGGATCATTCTCAGCACTGCAGTAACACTGATGTGGTGGTGGTGTGTTAGTGTGTGTTGCAATGGTCTGAGTGGATCAGACACAGCAGTGCTGCTGGAGTTTTTAAGCAACTCAGTGTCACTACTGGACTGAGAATAGTCCACCAAGCAAAAATATCCAGCCAACAGCGTCTTGTGGGCAGCGTCCTGTGACCACTGATGAAGGATTAGAGGATGACCAACACAAACTGTGCAGCAGCAGATGAGCTATCGTCTCTGACTTTACATCTACAAGGTGGACTGACAAGGTAGGAGTGTCTAATAGAGTGGACAGTGAGTGGAAACAGTGTTTAAAAACTCCAGAAGCACTGCTGTGTCATACTAGCCCAACTCACACTAACACTGCAGTGTTACTGATCCACCACCCAAAAATACCTGCTCTTTGGTGGTCCTGTGGGGGTCCTGACCACTGAAGAACAGGGTGAAAGAGGGCTAACAAAGTATGCAGAGAAACAGATGGACTACAGTCTGTAATTGTAGAACTACAAAGTGCTCCTATATAGTAAATGGAGCTGATGAAATGGACAAAGAGTGTAAATCCAAGCTTGGTGTATAACTATAAAACCAAAAGTGCTGCATTTCTATTTTAACTCAGCACAGTTTCTATTTGCTGACAGACTGAAGTAAAAATGAATAAATACTGTGTTTACCCTCACCATCCTTGGCATCGTCTGGAAGCAGTGCATCCTGCCGGTTGCCAAGAACAAAGGCAAGCGTGGAGAGAATGGCAGCGTCCAGCACACCCAACATGGCCAGCACATAGGCCCAGTGGACGGTGCAGTTCCCCGGAGAGAAACTGGCCACACTCTCCCCACAGAGCGCTCTCATCTCCGCACACTCCCACGAGTCCGGGAACAACACACACGCGAGTGCCAGGCAGAAACCTATATATAATATAGAATATAGGATACATGATATAGAAATATAGGATACAGAATGAAGACAAAATGTTTCTGAAAGTTTTACTTAAATACAGTGATGTGCAAAAGTCATCAGAGAGCCCATTCAGTAATTTAAGTAAGTACAAGTCATTCATTTTTCAGGAGATATTTCTCTAGATATTAGATAAACCACTTGCTTAAGTAAAGGGAAAGCCAAAGGAAATTAAGGTGAAAAGCAGCAGTTTCCAAAACTGGAGTTCATCTTTGAGAGAGAGGAGAAAATCAAGCTGCTTCAGATCTGAAAACATCCACAGGTGTTTCTGTCCATCCTTCCACTGTGAGAAGACGACTCAGCGCTATGGGTCTGAAAGGATGTGTAGCTGTAAAGAAGCCTCACTAAGAAAAGGACAAAAAGACTGTGGGATTATTTGGATGATGAGAAGCAGGAAAAGGCAACCAACTTCTAAGACTGAACTTCGGAGGTGTGAAAAATATCCCTGCAGCTGTAATAAAGGCAAAGGGTGGACACATTAAATACTGTTGTTGAGGTTTCTGCATACTTTTCTGTTAAAATATGTTTTCTGCTTTTTTCCTGCCAGTGAGAAATGAATAATGTGTACTTAATGGCTGTTTTGATTGTACTGCAGAAAATGGTATCTTGTCAAGTAAAACTATCATAAATATAGACAAAAAATTGATCATGTTGAGATTGTTGTTTGCATAATTTAAGATTATTTAACTTATTTTTACACACGTTTTACTTGTTTTAAGTAATTTTATCAAGTAAAATTATCTCACTATAGTGGCAGATAACTGTTCTAGTTTTAAGAAATGTGCTTGAAACCAGCGAATTATCTGCCAGTATAGTGAAATAATTTTACTTAATACAATGACCTAAAAAAGTCTGGAAATAAACTAGATAATCTTATAATAACTGCACAGCCATCTCAAAATGGGAATTATTAGATACATTGACTAGATTTAAGATCATTTCAGTTGACAGGATACCATTTTTTGCAGTGTGGGAACTAATTGAAGGGTGTTCTCTGACTTTTGCACAGTCTTGTATGTAACCATAGCCTTTACTAAAGAGCCCTTGAAGAACCAGCTTTTTTTTAAGGCTACAAGGAACAGGGAGGAGATGGGGAGGTTCACAGGAAACAAAAGGTAGAGATGGATGTTTACAGGATGTTAGACTAGAGGAGCTTCAGGCATGTTAGTTATTTCATAACTCCAGAAAATGAGCTGACAAGTTCATGTTGGAGGAGCAGATAAGTCACTCTCACCTGCGGTCAGCTGCAGCCAGGCGCAGATTTTATACACAGTGGCAGCGTTGCAGAAGCGGAACAGACACAGGCAGCCTACGCTGGCCCACACCATGGTCAGAGACATGCAGACCAGCACGGCTGGTGACTGGAAAGCTGGCAGGGGGGTCAGGGTGCGCAAAGATCCCTTACACTCCGGCACGGGCCAGTCTGACTCCACACATACCTCAAACAGGCCCAGAGTACCAGCCTGAGGGGGCGTCCCCCCACCCCCACCACGAAAGCGCAACTCCCGCGTGCCCACCCAGGAAGGCTGGATGAGGATGACCACCTCAATGACAGCGAAGCAGAGAGTACACACGGCCCACAGGACGCCCACTGCCCGCGCACTACGAATGAACTCCGTCTGGTACAGGCGGGCCACCTCTGTCGCGTGGGGCTGCATGACCACTGCACAGAGAAAAGGACAGCTGTGTTCACTCCTGATGTTCCACATTTTTCTTATACTTCAGCTCTGTGTTCTGGTTGTTTGTGTGGTTTTATGTACTAAAACCAGACTGTTTTAACAGACTGTTAGGCTGTTTTAGCTACCGCGCCTTTAAGACTGATATATGTAAATGTCCTCTGTTTTGATTGGCAGGCCTGTACTGTGTCCATACTGGACACTGAAATGTACTGGAAAAATCTGTTCGGTTTGGACTAAAATCTTCAGAGACATCCGAAAAAAGCTAGCAGAGGAAAGTTTGTGAACAGACTTTAAGTTGGTTTGACAAAGCCAGCTAATGATGTTTGATAGGTTTCATGGTTTTTAGTTTCTGGGTTATTAAAGAGGTTATATTGCTTGTTAAAAGGAGGTTTAAGAGGTTATGATTCCAAGGTGGCTGCTAGGGTGTTACTAAGCGGTTGCTATAGTGTTTCAGTGATTCAGGTAGTTGCTAGGGTGTTGCTATGGTTTTTTTTCTATGTGGTTGCTGGGGTATTGGTATGGTATCCAAGGTGGTTGCTATGGTATCTCAGGCAGTTGCTAAGATGTTGCTTGGCCATTGCAATCTTATTCCAGTTGGTTGCTAAGGTGTTGCTCGGCTGTTGCTGTGTTGTTCCAGTTAGTTGCTAAAGTGTTGCTAAGCCATTGTTACGTTATCCCAGGTGGTTGCTAAGATGTTGCTAGGCTGTTGCAATCTTATTCCAGTTGGTTGCTAAGGTGTTGCTCGGCTGTTGCTATGTTGTTCCAGTTAGTTGCTAATGTGTTGCTAAGCCATCACCAACAGTGATATCCTGTAGAACACGAAATCCTTGTACTGTGATAACTGGTTCACCCGTGTTATATTTCTAGTCAGTCATTCTGATGGTTATTTAATGACATATTCTGAGTTTTTACAGATATGTAGTATCTTTTTTAAAACATGATTGGACTTCATCCAACCTTATTCATTCATCCAGCCTTTAGACCCTGTTTGTCACTGACACTGGGTGGGTATTTCACTTTCCTCAAGGGTGGATTCATTGTTTCAGTGGGAAGTAGTCTTGGTCTTACTGGAATAACCTTATGGGTGGCCTTAACCTCTTTAACTCCTTGGGACCACCGGTGGTTCCAAAACGCACTTTGTCATGTTCTTTACTTCATAACTTTCATATTTTAGAAGCTTCATTCCAAAGGTGGGGGTCATATGAGAGCTGTAACTGTCTTCTTTCCAGTCTAATAGATGGGTAATGTATTTTAAACCCTTATAATAGAAGAAGCTGAACTCACAATTTTTTCTTCTACTGAAAGTTGACCCATATTTCCACAAATCTGAGCTAGAAACTGGATCTCAGACTTTTATAAAAACAATACAAAGAGCATCTAAGATTTTTGGATTTCAGTAGTAAATTGTAAACATAAAGCATTATGTTAGGTTAGAACAGAATCTAAACACAATCAAGAGCACAAAGGTGTGAACAGTTCTATGGTTTAAGAACACGTCATGAATCTGAAGTGGCCTTCGTCTTAGTACCTTTCTCAAGAATGAATTTAAGAAAAAACTTAGGAAGATATTGGAGAATGAGGCCCAATATTTTATAAACTGAGAGGAGAAAACATTTCATTTATTTCATCCATTTAGTCCTTTGTATATAATCAGCGGCTGTTCGTTCATCTAACTTTTACATCACAAATTTGCAGGACACTGTCCCAAGTATTTGAGCACCCTCAGGCCTCGTGGTTAGAGGCCCCCAGGCACTGACCCCACAAGCCTGGTCAGTAATCCATCCCTGGGCACAATACAGGACACTCAATCAGAGCAGAGGTCAGACTTAAAAGCCCAGTAACAAACGAACAAACAGCCTATTTCATTCTAAGGGGAGAAGGTTGGAAAATAGTCATACAAAATGAATTAAGATTTTTTTGTACATGAACACACAGAAATGTCCTGTGGACACATGGAAAAAGAATAAAATACAAGAATTCAGAAAATGGGCCCTTTAAAATAGTAATAAAAACGTGGTTAATTAGCGTGAGCTCTGGCTGGTGGAAAAAGCAGGACACAAACAGGCTGAAGCAAAACATGAACACGCTCACAGTGACTGAACTCAGGGGAGATGAGTGAGGAGGTTCCAGAGACTCAGAGCTGAATGAGAGGGACGATGATGCTCACTGGGGAGAAAAGACACAAACAAGCCAGTCATGAGAATGAGCATATGAGCACGAGAGGATGGGATGATGAAAATCACCTCTCTCTTCCGCTGGCTGCTCGTCTGTGAGTCTCTCTCTCTCTCTGTCTGTCTCTCAGGAAGCGAAGGGTAAAAAAATCACATCAGAAAAAACACATCAAAATTCAATTGCGCAGAGCTGCATTATGGGCGACCGAGGGAGCGAGAGGAAAAAAAAAAAGGAAAAATGAAAAGAAGGGAGAGATGCTGTCCTCCTCCTCCTCCTCCTCTCTGTGGGTTAGTGGTGGCAGTGATGAACGACATTAACAGCAGGCCCACAGCAACGGCAACGGAGCTGCGCACGAGCACATACGGAGGGATGACGAAGGAGAGAGGGAGAGGAGGAAAGAGGGAGGGAGAGGGAGAGGAGGAAGGAGGGAGGGAGCATGGCGGTCTTCTACTAGAAGGGAGGGGTTTCATCTTTACACACAGTGGTGATGGTGCAGAGAGTCTCGTCTGATTCAGAATCATACAGAATAATAATTCCTCCTGTTACTTAATGCAGCACAAACGGAGGGAGGAGTGAAATGGTGAAAGAAAAGAGTCTGGAAGGGAAAAGGGAAGGCAGTGAGAGTGGGAGAGAGTGGGAGAGGGAGAGAGAGAGAGAGAGAGAGAGAGAGAGAGCAGAGAGAGAGAGAGAGCATGAGAAAGATGGAAGGAGTGAGAAAGAAGACAGAAAGAGGCAGAGCAAGAGAGAAAAGAGAAAAGAGAGAGAAAGACATGAAAAAGAAAGGAGAAAGAAAAAACAAAGAGAGAGAGAGATGATAGAGAGGACAGAAAGGAAAGAAAGAGAGAAAAAGGAAAAAGAGAACTAGAACGAGGACAGAGAAACATAAAGAGAGACAGGGGAAAGAGGGAGACAGAGAGGGTCATACCACCACACACCCAAAAACAGCCCCCCTCAGACCCCTCAAAGATAACCATCACCTTCAAACCACAGCCCAGTTCACCCTCTCAACAACACAGCTCACAATGATCAACAACACACACCAAAAACTAATCAATAATTCATCAATGAAATTTCCTCCTCAGTTAATAAATTGAAATGCTATTGATCACTTAACAGAGAACACACGTTAGCAGATTATCTGATTAAAATAAAAAAATCCCAAAGAATGAAACACCTAGAAATATACAGGCTTAGTGACCATAATTTAGAGACAGAAAACGGAGAAACACTGGAGGCCCAAAGAAGAACAAACACGTAATCAATGCTGTCCATCCAAAGCCAACACCATCTTTTCTATTCATGCAGATCTCAGAGAGGATTACTGCAGTTCAATCAAAACTTATATCCCATCATTCCAGGAGAAAATGATTAAAAGTGAAGATGTGCTACAGATCATGCTTTATTCTTACTTTTCTTCCTTAACATTATTTCCATCCCTTGCTTTCACAACAGTTGTTCATTACAGTTCATGCCAACAAGGCTATGTGAATTAAAATTGAATTAAAATGAGAGAAAGAGAGGACAGAGAGAAATAAGAAAGAGCAGAGAGAGAGAGAGAGAGAACGAGAAAAGAGCTAGAAAAAGAACAGAGAGATTGAGCGTTATACAGAGAGCGAGAGCGGTTCCTGCTCCTTCATTAGAAGCTGCAGGTTTGGTTCTGATGCTCAGTTAAAGCCGCAGCACTCAGGCTGTTTTACAGGAAACCTCACTCTCAGAACTCCAAAACTCGGCCTGATCAAGGAGCCAGACTCTTCCAACTCACTGTGGAACAGTGGCAGACGGGTCCGATCTTTTAGCTGTGACTGCATTCTTACTGCACCAGCTATTACAGTTAACATTGTATTAAGTGTGGCGTAATACAATGTTAATCACAAGTCAGTGTCTCCCCCTTTACCTCAAATACAGAGCAGCTGAGACAGGATTAGTGTCTGAAGTTTGCTTGTTCAGTTTTGCTTTAGAGCTTACAAGGCTAGTGTAGCTAACAAGTAGTGGAAGCTTATACCTCAACAGTTGGTGTTGTGCAAACTGCATGCCTAAATAATTACACCTGCCTTGTTAAACACTCTCAAATAGGCTTGATTGTGTGGTTTCTGACATTGTATGACACTAGTATCAATAAAACTGGGCAAAAGTCCATTACATTGCTAGTAGCAGCCACACTGAAGTCTGAATTTTGTCCGTACTTTTGTCCATAACAGTATATCAGTGTTAGAAACCAAACCCTATTTAAAATCAGTGTGAATTGTAACACAGTTTTCTCCCTTGTTTCGCTCTCTTATACTCTATCTAGCTGAGCGTGTACTCTCGATGACAGGTGGGATATGGGAGGTAAAACATGATATTATTGGTTAATATTATTGCTCCCCACCCACTGGTGCACGGTGGTGTGATTGAAAATCACAGGAAGATTTTGACAGAACATTACGTGGGGGGGAATTATCTTATTATCGATAGGACATGATAACTAAGCAGAACATTTGTTATGGTCCTTGACATACAAACCCACATTTACACACAAACTAAAGGAGCACAAACTAAGGAGAAAGTCTGACTGGTCTGCACAAAACATGGCAGTGCCTCACAAAAACCAAATAATATCTATTATTTTTCATCTGAACGAAAATGTCATCACACAGGTTAGCAAACACACAATGAATGTGTTTACATGCACTTTATAATCCGATAACAGCATAAAATCAGATTTTGTCAGTAATCTGATCAATGCTTTTAAATGCACTTGAGTAATCAGATATTGGGAAAACTCTGGGTCTACATGAGTCAGACAGCGATCTGATTTCTGCTTTGCAACCAGCCAATAAACTCACAGAAGAAGCTGTGATGTAACATAAAACTCAAACTACATGCCACAACTTTGTGCCACTTTACCCGAAAATATGAACATAAATCATCTAGAAGAAGAATATTTAAATCCTTCATTTCGTCAAGCATGTATTTGGTTTCAGCGTCGCTTCAGAAGTGTTTTGCTGCGTCTTGCAGCAACGCTGCTCGCTTATTTCCGGTGTCTGTTTTCACACATGCGCAGACTGAGAAATCCAAAAGAAATCAGAGTAAGAGTTTACATGCACTGATAAATCTGATTACTGAGCTAAAATCCAGCTCTTTATCAGATTTCTTATTCAGATTTCTAGACTTTATTCTGATCTAAGAAATTGGAGCATGCTGTTTGCATGACCATTTGAATAATCAGATAACTGCAGAAATTACAATCTGATTATTGAGTGCATGTAAACTCACTCAATGCTTCTTCAGAATTATGAACTGTTTATACAAGTTAATAACCAAGAAAGGAAGGAACAGCCTGCATATTTAAAATGCACTGGTGTATTGTGTACCAAAGTTTACAAAAACATAAGTTACATTTATTATTTTTTGTTGTTTTGCTTCAAAATAAGAGCCCCTAACACAGACACAGAGGTTGTTCAAGGAGGAACAAAAGCAAGATATAAAAAAGATAAAAGAACACAGAAATCCACAAAGTTAAACCGTCTGAACTACCGTTTGTTTAAGGAAATATTGCACTATTTATTGCTTGATTTGGACAGGTTGTGTGGTCAGTGTTGATCATTGTTGCTCCTATTACTTCTATGGTTTTGATGAACGTACAAATACACTAAGGGGCAGGCAATATGACAATATCATTAATGAAAATTTAAATCACAATATACGTTTGAGAGTATACTGTGGATTCTGTCAGTACTTAAAGGACATTGGCCAACTGCATGTTTCATTACAAAGAAAACATGATTAGTCCTGTTTAACTGGATTCAGTGCAACAAAGTATGTGAAGCGTTGAATAAAAATGACTGTATTCATACATTTTGATAGTATTTATAGTATTTTATACTGATTATAAATTAGTATAATTATATATGTGTTTTTTTTGTTGCTGTGGCACGCTGGTTCTTTTTTGTCTGCTCCAACTTATCAAACCTCAGAAAAACTAAATATCGTGATATTGTGCAAATGTCTTGAATATATTTTCGTCATATTGCCCACCCCTAAAATACACTTCAGTTTCAAACAGCAACGTACATCATACTTTTATCTTGTGTGAAAAACTGCATGCACTGAGAATACTTGAATGTTCGGCTGGTGTTTGCTCTGTTCTTAGCACCATGCTAGCTTATTTATCTTTTTCAAATTACTGATCACCACAAGTTTCATTTATAACAATTATTAGAAAAGTTAGAAAAGGAATTTTGTGCAGTTTACATGGAATAAATAAAACTAATATAGAAGGATTTGTGATCTGAAACTCAAACTTTTGAAACACAACCTACTTTCTCTATAGAGCTTGTTTGGCAAATGACCTCAGTTTTGGCAAAGAATGTCAAGCAGTGCATGCATGAGTCATTAAGAGAAGTGTGATCTCACGCACATACGCAGGGCAGAATTAACAGTACAAATGAGCTTGGATCTCCTGCTGAGGAGGAAGAAGATGGTTTTGCGAGTTTGGGAAGGAAGACAAGTGTGAAAACGGTTTCTCACACGCGGTTCTGCATCACATTATGCCACGTGTCACTTCCTCACATGCGTGTGACGCACATACACGCATGCACACACATGTTGGGAACATCATTTCAGTGCCTTCATGTGAATCTCTTCCTGTCTTTTTTGCTGGTTTAGTTGATGGGGGGAATTTCCTCCCCAAACTTGGCGAGATGAGCTGCATTCTTGGCTTCATACAGCACCTACATACACATATACATGAGAGAGAGAGAGAGAGAGAGAGAGAGAGAGAGAGAGAGAGAGAGAGACAGAGAGAGACAGAGAGAGAGAGACAGACAGAATATCCGTTTAGGTATTTTTATCAGAGGCAAAAGAGGTTGTAAGTTTTCCTGTTAGACACCAAAGAGGTCAGAAGTAATTTAGAGAAGATGAAAAACAAAAAATATCTAAAAATGCAGCAGGGCTATTGTTTGCTATCCGGTGTCGACCAGAGGAGGATGGGTTCTCCTTTTGAACCTTCCCCTCAAGGTTTCTTCCTCTTGCTCTTAGGGAGTTTTTCCTTGCCTTACTGGTCAAATAACATGCTTGTTTTGTAGATTTTTAGAAGTTGAAATTAATACATCCTCTACAGGGAACCAACTTAAAAATGGCATTTTCTTTAAATCTGAATGCACAATTTTTATTTATTGGCGGAGTTTAACATACTGGAAAAGATAAAACATAAAATACAAAATGTGCCATAACTTTTGCACAGGCCACATTGTGTGTTATTTTTTTTCAATACCTTAAATTCAGCAAATACACAGTAATAAACAATAAAAAGTGCAGAAGTGTGTTCCCTGATGTGTTAATGTATTTTCACTCAGAGAATCAACAAAACATGTAATTTGACCCAAACCTTTCTATATGGCTCTATATGGTAAAATGTTAAAAAGTTCATTTTAGCCACTCTAGCCAGTCACCCTTTAGGCCTGCGTCCTCTGAGCTTGGTACTGGGTCCAGGAGGACAGCCTACACCAGTCGAGAGGGATACCTGCAGAACTACATTTAGATGAGCCTGTAGCACTGCTCCACTTTTTGCAGCTCGGCTAAAACTGAGCTCAACTCGGCCTCAGGTGCTTTTAATGACAAAAACAGGCAAACAGCGAACTAAAATTAATTAAAACAAAACTAAAAAACAGGATTTTGAGAAATTAAATACTAATTCAAATTTGTTATACACATAGCACGTATGCAAATATTAGGACATTCCAGCTAAAATTGCATGTTTTGTTGATATTCTAAGTGAAAAATTAGTCAACACATCCTCTACAGAGAACACACATCTGCACATTTAAAGTACAATTACTGTTTATTTGTTGAATTTTTATTGGGGAAAAACGTTAAACAAAATGTGAACTGAGCAAACTTTTTTTTTGTGAACTTTTTTTTCAATATGATAAACTTAGCAAATTAACAGACATTGTGTACTAAAATAAAAAAAAAAATGCCACAGTTAAGTTCCCTGTAGAGGATGCATGAACTTATCTTCACTTAGAAAATCAACAAAACATGTAAATTGACCAAGAGGGTTTTGGACTTTTGCATACATCTGTATGTAACTCAAACACTACACAACACAGCCATAAAAACTTTTGAATGAGAAGGTCACAATAATGGATTCTATCATTGCAACACAGTGAGCAACTGGGCTTTAGCCTGCAATACATATACACCACTGTCACCTACTGGATATATTTTGAAAGTACGGTTAATTATGAAATATAAATACAATTTTTTGAACAGGGTTTTGAGAATGAATATTGGAGTATTTGTTCGGAAACACAAATGAATTCCATGTATTCCAAAGCTTGTAAAACGCTGTTTGGGCCAGTCCTAAAATAAAATAAATAATATATACCTAAAGCTAAAAATGCAGCATTTATCAGAATTACACGTCCTTTATTGACATGAAGCAGCCATCAGAGCAAAGCAGAACCTGCTTTGCATTTCACAGCCTAAGCACCACAGGTAATTTTGAGCCTGCAACCTGCAGCTGTACCAACCTTGTTGTGGACGTAGGACTCACAGGGGTAGCACCAGACAGACAGGTCGGCAAAGCTAAGAACCATAGGGTGATCGGACACCTGGCCGTGGGTCACCATGTGCTCATTTACAAAGCGCCCACACAACACCTGCACACAATTCAGACAAACAGGACACAAAAATGAATCTCTGCACTGCTGATAATTCTGTCCTTTGTGTCACTTAAACAGGTGCAGATGTATAACCAGATATAATCCCACTACAGTTTTTCTGCACTCAATAAACACATAACACTGATTTCTTATTTTTAAACACTAAAAATGACCAATAAGCCTAACAATGCTGTTTCCAGAGTGTTCTGCCTTTTAGATGTGTGAAATAAGCAATATGGAGGGTAGAGGAAGATCTAGTTCTCTGTGTCAGCTCTACTTTGAAAACTCTGTCTTGTTAGTTAGTGAGTCTACATAAATATAAGTGCTATCTTTTATCACATAGCAATTTCTTCTGTTCAGCAGACACACAGTGGGCTCCAAAAGTCCAAGACCACTGGTGAAAATATTATATTTTGCATTCTTTTCTAATTTAATACAAAGTTTTTAATTTCAAATTATATTTATAGCGTAAGTCGTCTGAATGTGAGCCTCCATGAATGAGATAAGCACAATACAAAGGCCTTAACATAGTACTCTCTCAATGCCACAAATTTGCTTAAATTTGAACAATGAACCAGAAATAGTGCAAAATCTTGCACATTTCTTCCTCATTTTACTTGTCATACTTTTTCTTACTTTCTTTTTTTATTCTAAAATTTTCTGCTGTTCATTTTCAGGTTTAAATGAAAAAATCCCAGATTTTCAATGTGGTCTCAGACTTTTAGACCGCCAAAATATGTAACGAGCTATCAAACCACTAACAGTAAATTCAGGCTTTGTCCACCGGTTGGAGGTCTAAGACTCAAAAATATGTGAAGCAGGTAATCAGTGTGCTTCACTTGATTATCTGGTTCAGGCATGCCGAGAACTGGAGCAGAACCAAAAATTTGGTTTGGCCATGGATCTTTGAGGACTGAAACTAGGAAGGCCAACGCAGCGGGTACCTTGTAGCAGCAGAGACAGATCCAGTTCTCTGTATCGGCTCCACACTCCTCGCATGGCCGGAACACGTCGATGCCATCTGCTGGCACTGGCTGCACCGAGTCCAGATGTGGGCACCATGCCAGCGGGTCCACCACGTACATCGTGTCCTAAAAAGAGAAAAATCACAACCTAAATGTCTTTACTGTGACAATTTAATCTGTAGTATGCTGATAAACAGCATGTCCACTCATCCAGACCATGGCTTGTTAACCAACATCCAGGTTCTTTGTTTCAGATATTGTTTTAATATCAATTAAGTAATTTTAATACTGAACTGCCATGTGACATTTTCTCAAACATCTAATAATAATAATATACACACACACCAAAATGGGGATTGTGGGCAGATACCAATATCTGATATTTTTCATGTAAATGTCTGCCAAAGCCGATGTCAATACATACACAATTATAAAATGCATAAATTGGGGCTAAAACCACCTGGATTAGCATCAGAGAGAAAAATAACATTTATGTATGTACAAATGCAGTAAAATGAATGATATGTAGATATTTTAGCGCAGGAGCCCAGCATGGCCTAAATGTTCTGCTCTTCTGAAGTACAATAAATACATTTAATATCGATTTGAAATATCAGTGAAAACTAAACATCTATCCAACGTTGATCAATTTTTAATCCGATATCACTGTGCATCCCTAAACAATACTAAACTGATAAGTGATATTACTGAGCATCCTTGATTTACCAACAGAATGTCCCCATGTCCCCATCCCTGTTTAATGATAGGATCTCACAAAAAAAAGTTATTCATTATCTGTTAGGCCACAACACAGCAACAGATGAAATGATGAGCTTACATCCATCCTGACTCTCCCGAATGCTCAGTAAACTCTTATTCCTTACAGACCTCTGCTATCTGTGAGATTATCCATATATACCATTTCCAAAAGCTAATGTGGAGGCCAGTGAGCATGCATTCCTCGTTGGTCATTCATGTCAGCAGAAAACCAGCAAGCAAAAAAAAACAGCCCTCGTGTCCCTCAACTATTGTTCTGGCCTTCATAGCACAAAACATATGGAGAGTGTCGGGGGGAGAAAACACTAACCCCCCACCCCATCTGCACCCACTAACAACTGTTTGAGTTTTGCGATTCACCCAGCATGCGTGGTCAGCGGAAATCTGGTTGTTTATCGAGGTAATCTTATTTTCCAGAGTTACCTATGACTATTTTAGCCATACTTCATTTTTATAAACGTGTATTCTTGTGTTATTTGTTCACCAAGATATTTAGTTTTACTCTAATAATTCTGTGCATTTTACTTATGTTACTTTATTTTACTATAACAGGAATCATTCGGCCTTTAAAAACCACACCATGTCAAAGGTTACCAGTCTTAGGCTCATGGCTTTGCTAAAAATAGCCAACACGACACACAGAAATACATACTCAGCACTTGCTTGGTCAGCTAGATTTTTGTGTTCAAAAACTACAAACAAACTCTAATTAACAAACGTTTTCTTTTTTTCTTTTTTTTTTTTAACCTAATGTGCATTCAGTTGTGTCCTTTGTCAGTTTCCTTCTTTTCACTAGTTTTAAAATGCCCATATCACGGAAAACTCAATTTATCTCACTTTTTAGAAATAAGAGAGTTTGATGTAGTATGCAAACACTGTTTCAAAACGTACCGTTTGCTAACTAGGCCACACAATCTTTATATACCATCGCTGTCCAAAGAATCTTCAAAATAGTGCCTCTAAAACTTTACAGGAGAGGGCAACATGTTTTTTACTTTTAATATAAGTCAATGGAAAGAGATGTTATTCTAAGCAATTTTGGAACATTTCTTTTTGTCCATTCATCAGGTAATTTTCACACAATGTAAAGAACACCTGCCGTGCTCAAATGATGTAGAAAAGTAAAAACTGCAAAAAATGAAGACAGATGCTTTTCTTTGGACAGCGATGAACAGCCCATTTGAATTCATTGTTTTTGTGACGTCATTAAAACCAACAAACATATAACATATAACTGCCTATTCAGCCTAAAGCAGTTCAGCTCTGCTCATCCATGCCTTAGTTATAAGGAGTGTTTCAGACCGGACTGCTTTGTGAATGAAGCCTAATACAATACAGGACAGCCAATCAAAACAGAGGCCAATTATATAAATATTTAAGAACTAACCTGTTTAAATCTAATGAATATAGTGAGGTTGGAAAATAATCACGTAAAATAAATGATGACTGCTTTTCGTAAATAAATATATTCACATATATTTAGTGAACCTCAGGAGAAACACAAAAAAAAAAATACACCTCATCACATAATGGCAGAACATAGATACTGAGATACTGTACCCCGCCCATATCCACAGCGCCACAGACAAGCTCAAAGACAGATTTCTTTGTGTAGCCACAAGCTCCCTCTAGCACACAGCTCTCCTGGTCAACCAAGGCAACAACATCTGTGTCCACTGCCTCCGGAACTGACTAGAAGTGCATTAAAAATGTGCATTACAAAAAATGTTAGCCTGAGTATATTGTCATTTAATATTTTCAGTATTCTTCAGTCTCAAACTAGATTCAACTCATGAAGGGCTAATGAGCAGAGGTTAAGCTAAGTTACCTAAATAATGTTCAAAAATAACTCAACAAATAAATAAATAAATAAATAAATAAAACAAAACACCCTCTTTACCTGTTTCTCCTCTTTGATGGGAGTGGACTCAACTTTTACACCAGGTTCCTGTCTGCCTCTCTCCATCACTTTCACAGGCGACACTTCTTGTGTCGCTATGACATCCCTCTGTGGGCTGGGCTTCACTTTGGGCCGTGCCCCTCCAACAGGGATAGAAGTTGGGCTGGAATTGGCTGAGGTAGAAGAACTGAGATCCAGCGAGTGCAGGCCCTGGGTGATCTCATCCAGGCCTGAGTCCTCCTGGGCAGAAGGGGGAGATGCTGGTGAAGTTGTCACTGAGGAAACTTGCTGCTGCTGGCTGGGACTTTGTGCAGGAGTGACCTGACGTGGAGATTTTTTGCCCTTCCCTGCTGACATTCGCTTGCTCTTGGGTTGAGGAGAGGGCAACGACGAGCGCAGGGACTCTGGAACTTATTTTAAACAGAAATAAAGAACAGAAAAAAATGTTTTGCATTAATTTTAGCTGTAAGAAAGCATGCAAAAATAAATAATTACATTTCTAAAAAAATAGAAATTCATAATAATGAAAATTTTAGAAATTGCATGGCATCTAAAATATCTGGAAAGATAAACTTTTGACCTATATACAGGGGTGTTGCATTGCTCATCATCCTCAACTGTTTTTTTGAGTGTGAACTAACATACCAGTCAGCATGGCCACTTTATCCTAAAAAATGTACTAGACGTACTTGGTAAACATGCTATTAATAATTTTTCAACTAGTATACCTCAAGTAGAGATAGAACACAAACACAGAATGTGAGAATCATCCTGACAATAAATTAAGAAAGCCTTTACTGCTAAATAACTGCAGCTATTCCAAAAAAAACTATATGCCCAAATACTATGACCATGAGACAAGCTGGACACAGCCTTACTCTGTATTCGGAGCGATCTCCAGTAGGGTGCGTGCACTCGCAGGACATTGTTGATGGTGACGGCAGCACTGGAGTGTGGAGGAGGCAGAGGGGGGAGCATTGGAGGCGCATCTCCAAGGAGCATACTGGTGCACATGGCCATGGACTCAGAGATGGAGGTGAGGTTATAACCTCCCTATGTAAGACAGGAGGAGTAGATAAGAGCTACTGCTGAAACTGGACTTAAGGATTCTACCTAGTCCACGGTGTGTGCAAGTGAATAAAAAGTTGGTCGATAATGGAAGTCCACCTGGTGACCTTGCATACAGATTGTGAAAGCTGCAGACTCATCAGTGTAGCCATACCCTTGCATTAACGCACACTCACAATCTAAACATACCCAAGTATGCATCATGTTGAGATGTAAAACATCACACCAGAGCTCTGGGAGTCCTGAAAATTCTATGACTTAATCTAGTACTCAGGCAGATGCACAGTAGCCAATCAAACCAGAGAACTGTTAAGCTAACTACCAGAAATTAGATAAAAACAGAACCAGGCTTCGTTTTAAGTGAACAGAGCTAAGTGCTTCTGAAAACTGTCCAATTAATTAACAGACATCAGAAAAAACAGACTGTATTGGATTCCATTGGGCCAGATTTGAGTAGCTTTCCAGTGAGGAAGGAGGACAGCGGTACAGACCTCCAAGATGACCAAAACTCGTCCTGCAGCTAGACTCAGCAGCTGGTGAGTAAGGTGGGCATAGCCTTCTGGGGTCACCTGGTACCCACCCAAAGGATCACCCCGTGCAGCATCAAACCCAGCTGACACCAGCACAAGCTCTGGGGCAAACTAGACCAGAAAAATAAGAGCACAATTAGAAATCAGATTTTCTTTTATATAAGACAAAACAGAAGAAAAAAGTGATTTGGGCTACAGTGACTATGTTTACCTCACGTGCAATAGGCATCACCACATTGTGGAACGCTGCCAGGTATTCTGGGTCCCCCATCTTTGCTCCATTCCAGGGGATGTTGACATTATAGCCTGCACCCTTCCCTCGTCCCACCTTATCATAATTTAGCATCCTCTGAGGAAGGGAAGAATGTACCATCCTCATAGCGATGAAGAGAGATGTACAGGACACTGGAGGAGACAACAGATTAACAAGTCAGTTCTCAAACCCCTAATGCATTACAGTAGTGTTATCCCCTGCTCCAATATCCCTGATCTTACTTATCAGTTAATCATCAGGTTGAATCGGCAGAGTGTTACTTAGGAGATGAGAATGAAAAAGTTATGCTGAAACAGAGAAAACTAGATTTTGTAGTACTGCAGCTACCCAAGATCTAACTCTGCAAACTCTAACTTAGAAAATACTCTACACCCACACTCTATGCTTGTCAAACTGGGAGCACTCTTGAAGCAATCAGAGCTTAAATCCTTGCATAAGGGCACAGCATTATTAAGGTATGCTTCCCCATCAAAGGGAAATCTGACTGTCTGTTTTAGCGAAGTTCCTAGTCATTTCTAACTCAACAAAAGAACAGGGATCTGTCAAGTGGAACTAGATCAGAACTCCTGGCACACCTGTCATCCTCTTCAAAGATATGCTGAGTTCCATTGCCATGGTGCACATCCCAGTCCAGAATGAGGACTCGCAGGGAACTGTGGGTAATGCTCTGGGCATAACGAGCAGTCAGGGCAGCTGTGTTGAAGAAGCAGAAACCACATGCTGTATCTCTCTCTGCATGGTGTCCAGGGGGACGCACAACAGCCACACCATTTCGCACCTATGTAGAAAAAAGCCCGAACAAAGTTGAGAAGTTGAAAGCTGAGAAAGAAACAATCTTCTGCCATTTCAAACTCCTGCCTTCCTCCTCTGCGACTCTCCAGCACCTTCCCACTACCCCGTTCAACAGACTACTGAGGAACATGGACATTTATGAAATTGAGGAGTGTTAGTCAAAGGCCATAATTATAAGCAAGGAGTTTGTGTTTGCTGTAATTGTGTTCCATAATAACTTCATACATAACATACACTGACCGGACAATTGAAGTACACCTCTTTGTATCTACTCTGTCCATTTTATCAGCTCCACTCCACCATATATGTGCACTTTATAGTTACACAATTACAGATTGTAATCCATCTGTTTCCCTGCATACTTGTTAGCACTCTTTCACCTTGGTCTTCAGCCGTCAGAACCATCACAGAACCCTCACAGAACCACCAAAAAGCAGGTGTTATTTGGGTGGTGGGTCATTTTCAGCACTGCAGTGACCCTGACGTAGGGGTGGCATTGGTGTGTCCTGCGCTGGTATGAATGGATCAGACACAGCAGTGCTGCTGGAGTTTTTAAACACCTCAGTGTCACTGCTGGACTGAGAACAGTCCACCAATGCACAGGATAAACTGTGCAGCAACAGATGAGCTATTGTTTCTGATTTTACATCTACAGTGTGGACCAAAAAAGGGAGGTGTGTCTAATAGAGTAGACAGCGATTGGACACAATGTTTAAAAACTCCAGCAGCACTGCTGTGTCTGATCTTTTTGCACCAGCACAACACACACTAACACACCACCACCACATCAGTGTCACTGCAGTGCTGAGAATGATCCACCACCCAAATAACACCTGCTCTGTGATGGTTCTGTGGGGGTCCTGACCATTGAAGAACAGGGTGGATGGGGGCAAACAAAGTATGCAGAGAAACAGACTGATTAGTCTGTAATTGTGGAACTGCAACATGCACCTATATGGAAAGTGGATCTGATAAAATAGACAAAGTGTAGATACAAGGAAGATGTACTTCAGTGTATGCTATCTTACAAAAAAATGGCATAGCCTGTCATATTAATAATTTGGTTATTTTATATACAATACTAACTTACATAATGTCTATTTGAATATTACAAATTGCATAGCAGATGATGTCTTATTCTTTGTAACAAGCATTCTAAGAATACTAATAGTTCTTAGATGATGAATAATATACTGTAATTATCTACTCAAATAATTTCTGTCAAATTATCTTGAGATTTGATCACCACTTTTAAAATAGATTGCATTCTGGATATTACTTGATTTTATATATTCTGATTAGAACTTCATTCTCAATGCCATAAAACTTTCTCAGTCATTTAAAATCTTCCAACAAATCGATTTTTTTACATTATTTTAAAAACGGATTACAAACTTTTGAATGGTGATTCTAAACATTAACAATAAAGTAAAAGAGTACAACTAAAGGCTGATGTTATACACGGTTATCAGCTAAGCAGCAGCTGACCTGGCCGGTGAGGATGGCCTGGGCTGAGTTGAAACAGGCTCCGGCTGCCAGCAATGCACTCCTGTAGCTCTCATTGCTAATGTAGATGGAATTATATTCATCTCCCAGCCTGTACAGGTCTCTGGGCTTCATCTGCTCTGTGCTCTTTATAGTGTCTATGTGTGCCAAGCTGAAGAAAGAGTGAGAGCAAAAAAAGAGAGAGAAAAAACGGTGCATCCAGGGTGAATGGTTTAGGAAAACACTTTCTATAGATTTTGTATCCCTCTTTAATCCAAAAATTTGAGTATACCCATGACAGAGAGCAAGCTCCTCCTCCGTGGCTAAACGGGCTGGAATCCGCTGGCAACGGTCCACAAGCCCCAACTCCTCATGACGAGAAAAGATCCGTGAGATTCTCTGAGGGAGCTCTGGATGATGGCTGGAGGAGTGGATATATGCAGCGATCACACAGATAGACAATCATGCCCAGTAAGAGGGGAAAAAAAAAAATGATTCCATAAAATAACATGACTATCATAAAGAGGAATTCCACCAATGTTTCAAACTTCTACATAATTAAATGTGACATTTATACAGTCTTTTAGAGTGGTTTAATGTCAAATGATTCATTGTAGAAAAACTGACTGACTTGGATTTCTTTATTAAATGGATTCTTAAAAATGTTTTAGGCCAGGCAAACGCCTGCAATGACTTTAACAATTTAATTAATTATGTAGAGATTTTGAAAAAAAAAAACAGCGGAATTCCCCTTTAAGAGTGAATGACACAAATGTGTATTTGGGTGTATATTCACCTGTCCCACATGTTATGGTGCTCCATCATGCGCTGGTCATACACAAGACCAGTGCTGCGCAAGGAAGTCTCCAGTTTCATCTCGACACAAACAGCAGAGGGCAGGGGCTCTGCCTCAGAAAGAGGGCCTCCCTCTGAAGAACAAACAACTATGATAAACTCCATCTATCCAGCTGCTGCATCAGAAGTAATTAACATTACTTCAAAATACAGATTATTACCCAGTATCTGCAGGCTGGTCCAAAATGGATACAGAGCAGCAACAGTCTTAGAGATGGACTTCAGAGCACTGTAATATACAAAGGCAAACACAGGAAAAATTAAAAGTGGTGAAAACAGCTATTGCAGCGACAAGGCATAAACAGGCATTGTACTTATCCCACCTCTCACTTGGGGCACCTGGAGAGGTCAAGTGAGAGCAGGGTTCACCTAGCAGTGACCTCAAACTAGCACAGGCACCCTCTGCAGTGAACTGCAAGTTATAGCCGCCCTGACATCCAAAAAAAAAAAAAGACAAGAGTTTGAGTCTCATCACAAGCACAAAACATTTAGAAATCTTTTACTGTGATTTTGGTTACTCAACAAAGGTATACATTTAGAGGAAACAGGTACAGCTGAAAACTTGCACACATTATGTGCTTTACACAGCGATACTCATTTAATCTACTACTGAATATATTTCTGCTCAACATGTGAGGCAAGTAAAATATGACATCAGAATTTGGTACTGACCCATTTCTACTCACAATATCTACATAATGGAGCTTCTTGTGTCTTACCTCCAGCGCAAGCACTACTCTACCCTGAGCCAGCCCCATCAGCATGTGAGTCAGTACAGAGAAACACTGGGGACTCGCACACATCTCACCCTAAACACATATGGACACACAAACACAGTGGTAAATTAATAGCAATGTATATTTTTGTACCTGAGAGCCTATTTATGATTTATTGCTTCAAGAAAGAAAAATATAGTTGTTTTCATTTAAGCATATTAAATAATACACACCTTGGGATCACCAACCACAGAATCAAAGCCTGCGGCCACCAAAACTAGTTGAGGACGAAACTGATGAGACATGAGAAGAGAGACACAGTGGAGGTCACAAGTTATTCATCATGGTACAGCAATCAGACATCATAAGACAACTGAAAGGTCGCAAACAGTGCAGTTGGTACCTCATAGGCTATGGGTAGGAGAAGTCTCTGGAACACTGCAACATAGTCTCCATCCTGCATCCCTGTCTGAACAGCATCACATACAGCACATATGAGACCACAGCTTATTCACATGAGCTACAAACATACTTACTTACTATCCTTGGTAGTCATAAATGCTTAATGAAGCGACTGCGACAATGATTACTGCACATTTAAAAACTTGTTCAGCAAACAAACCTTGTTCCAGGGAACACTGACATTATAGCCTTGCCCTGGTCCTGTACCCACAGCATTGCTGTCCAATTCCAGCAGGTGGGGCCAGTAAGAACCGTCTTCATAACGATGCACAGAGAAATACAAAACACTACAAAAGGAGAAACAGACAAAGACAAGGCAGTCAGAGAAACATCCTGTAAAGCCTCAATTCAGAGTAAGCAGAAATGCAAGGGGATACTAGTAGCAATAGCAAATAGTGTATTTTTTGACACAGTTAACAGAGGCCTACACTGGGGCACCCCAAATTGAAAGCATTTGAATAAAAAAATAAAGCAACCTCTTGTTAACAGAAAAGAACATCCATACCTGGGATCTTCCTGGAATATGTACTGGGTTCCCTGACCATGGTGCACATCCCAGTCCACAATCAAAACCCTGCAACACAACATGATATACATAACAATTAAAATTCTTGACACAACAAAAGCTCCTGCCTGTATGTAATATATGACAAATGTAAAAAACAGAAAGCTAGGTACTCTCACCGCTGGACACCATGCTGTTTCTGGGCATAGCGGGCTGCCACTGCCAGATTATTAAACATGCAGTATCCATTCATCTGGTCAGTCTGGGCGTGGTGTCCTGGGGGCCTGCAGCAAAGACGCCACCACAATAAACAAAACTATATGTTACACATGGCTGTGGTTCTCTAAACCAGCACTAGACGCAGAGTTTTGTCCAATTAATTGCCCATTTATTCATAAGCTGAAGTGTGTTAGAACAGGGAAACCATTACACTGTGAAGTGCAGGGCTAACAAAGAATGAAACGCTATCAGGTATAGTTACCTGGACACAGAGAAGCCGTTTCGAAGCTCTGATGTCACCACTTTGTCAACTAGCTGGAGGACAGAGCCAACAGCTAGACAGGCACAGGTGAAAGAGTCCTGCACACACAGATGAACGCACAGACAAACACACATAAACAATAACACTACAACACACATTAACAAACCTTAGCATTCTGGCAGACTGGTGGGCACTGGGCAGTATGACAATATTTTATCATTATTGCCACAAAGTACACCACAAAATGCATTTTTCTCATTGGTACTGTCAATACTTATAAAACTGAGATTTAAAAAAGACCAGTTATACAAAGCCTGTTAACACCACCACCGATGTATGGCAACTGTATAAACTGCAGAGTAACAAGCAGCTGTTGTAGGTCAGCAAACTGAATTATGTTATTTTTCCTTTTTTTTAACCAATCCCTTGAGTTTTCCTTCTGTTCACTTTTAAAATAGTTTATTTTTGAAAAGGCTTAATGAAAAATGAACTACTGTAAAAGGAGTTTCTGCACACTCTTTTTTAAATTGTGTTTTGCTGGTCCATTTCAACTTATTCACACACCTCAGAAAAACAAAAATATTTAGTGCACACTGCCCACCACAAAACACAGATACAGCATCTCATCACACAAACACAACATAAAAAACAGACAAAGCGCACTAGAAAACGAACCCGAACAATACAACCCAAAGAGACATCCTACATTTCGGCACAGACTGTAGACAATAAACCTGTAGTAATCCGGCAACTCTTACAGGATGGAGATAAACTGAGTCATAGCCATCGGAGACAGATTTCAGCTCCTCTTCTGTCATCTTCTGTGTTGACTTCATCCGATCAATATACTCTTTCCTGTCAAACATCAATAACAGAAACCAAATACAACTATTCCATCAACCTTATTACCACATTCATATTCATGTTCATATGACAAGTCTTGGTAACTTACGTGTGAACAAGAGAAAGTTCCTCCTCTGATGCAGTTCTGGTCTGAAATTTGAACACAGACACAGCCGAATGAACACTGACATTAACATTCACTGCTAGTCATGTTACCATCACAATAGCCATGTATACTTACCTCCACCTGCACACAGCGAGACAGAAGCCCCTCCTTCTCCATCAACTCTACTATAGTAGCCACTCTCTCTGGTGATTCTGGGTGGCTGGTAGGAAAAACAGTGACATGACAACCCTTTAGCCAGACTGAATAACCTACTTCCACTGTTATAGAATAACTTACGTTAAGCACCAACAAGTAATCCATTAGAAATGGAATTTTACCTTTGAGGACAACAATGTCTAACAAAGTTTATTATGACATTCACATACTCTAATGAATTCTTATTCTTTCATTACATGTATTAATTATCCATTGCTGTCACACAGTATAGGGCAGAGAGAGATATTACTGCAGTCACCTGGCATCCCAGAGGCAGCGATAGCGAGTGAATGCATCCGAGTAAACAAGGCCTGTACCAGTTGCCTTGGGCTTGCAACGCAAATCCTAGATAAACATAAATGCAAATCCATGCACACACATTTAAAACAATTCACTGAAAAAGCCAGGTGACTCCCCTGAACTTCAAATATAATGTCAGGTATATTCGTTGCCTACCTGTACCATATCTGGATAAAGCAAATAAAATGCAACTCTTGTCTTAAAACCAAAAAAGGGCTTCTCTTGCAATGCAAACACCAAAATACTACATTATTACAGAATATCAAATCACTAACTTCTCTTCCATAAAGGAAAAAATAAAAATTTAATCCGCAATGAAAAATCTCCAAACAGGCGCTGTCACACTTACCAGGTTTTTGAGCTTGTTGGTCATCTCCTCTTCTGCTTTGCCTCGATCCATTCTGCCCTTCCTCCTGGCCTCCTGGAGAGCCTGCTTGTGGTTGGGTTTGCTGTTTTCTCTCTGAGAGACAGAAGCACAGTTTAATCACAAACCCCTGCCCTCCCATTATTATTTAACTTGGAATTTCATATTGCAGACTGGGTTGTGCTGTTCTGTGCCAATGTTTTTAGTTCCTGCACCAGTTCAGTTGCGTTTATGTCCATTACCTACGTTGTGCAACCTAAGTGGGCAAACTCCATGGGGCATGGTCTGGGTTGATCATTATCTTCTTCCTCAGTTTATGGTGATGCCATTTTTGTTGTTGTTGTTTATACAGGCCAGAACTACTGAAACCAAGGACACGTTTTCAATGCAAGTCTCAAACCATGTTAAGCAGGGGAGGGGAACTCCCCACCCCTGCAGTAAAGGGATGGTTACCGCAATAAAAAGATTAGTGCTTTGAATTTAATGCTTCAAATGTGTCAAGTGGTTGAACAGGAGTAAAATGTGTTACATCAGCACAATTCTTGCCAAAAGAACCAAACTGAAACACAGCAATTGTGTTGACGTGATATATATAACATACTTTCCTTTGAGCTACTGTTTCACATATTTAATTTATGTGGTAGATAAAGCTTTATCACCTACATTAAGACAGATAATTTGCATCTGAGATTTCGACAAGTTGGCATTATGAAGCAACAGTAACATACACTGCCGTTCAGCATTAGAGGTCTTTAAGATGAACATCTCTTACTTTGGCAGAGTTCTGTTGGGGTTTTTGGGGAGAACGAGAGGAACCTTTTGGAGCTCTTGGTGGAGCGGGATTTGATGCAGAATCCATGACGGAAATTCCACAATCCTTTAGTAAATCCTGCTTAAAAACAGAAAGCGACAAACCATCAACCCTAAGAACTATCTTACAGGTTTAGGTATTAAGTGTTTAGTTGTACATTGAGCTGAGGAAAGAATCAACAGATATGCAGGACTCTCTTTCTCATTTGAGGGAGTACAGATTGCTTCTCAAAAAAAAGAGAGTGAAACGTAATTTAAACATGATACAAAATCACATTTTCAGAGGAACTACAGGTGAGGCATATGAAAAGTATGTTACTGTCACCACTGGCTTGCTCATGGGGGCTTGGACCTGGATTTTTCTGTAAGGCTGCTTTGTGACACCTGTTGCAAAAAGCACTTCATAAATACACAATAAGCATTTTAGTGCTTCGGGCAGAAAAGTTAATTTCTGTGGGGACACGAATTATATGACTTTGTTTTGTGTCTCGCAGAAAGATGGGTCATTTTATAAGACACTGAGTGAACTGAATATCCAAAGTCCTAAATGTCAACGTAGCTGATGTCTAAAGTTATTGGAGACGGTATAAACTCATAAAGAGAAAGGACGTCAGAAATACTGGAGCAGCAATGTCCAAAACACAAGGTATCTATACCGGTATCGGAAAACTAAAAAGTGGTATCGTGCCATCTCTAGAAGAAGTATTTTCGACAGGGAAGCAGTGCTGGTTCTTCTAGCCAACTATAGAGAGGTTTGGTCACTATAAGCCACAAATGCAGGTCGTTGCTGTTTATTCACATTGATTGATTGATTGTGCATTTCCATACTTCAGTAACACTAATGTACTGATATTTGAGTGTTTCTATAAATGCAGCCACTAAAGTACTAAAGTTGTCAGGAGAAATCTAAGTCCTGATCACCCTACCATAGCATGTACATTATTATTATTATTATTGTTATTATTATTGTTGTTGTTGTTATCATTATTAGTTATATTTACTATTATTATTTATACTTATTTATATATAAATATTTAGCTTCAAAACTTTAATGATGCATCACTGCCAGCATGCAGATGTGTCCTATAGAGCCACTAAGGTGACATGGTGATTTTTTTTTTTTAATAAGGTGTGGCCACAAATTAGTTTGTCATAACTCGTGACCTATATATGATAATTTATTGCCTCAATATTGCATGGCCTCAGTATATTAATCTGTAGCCTCAATATAGTAATTCGTGGCCACGCCTTATTAAAAATAATCACCATGTCACCTCAGGAGCTCCATAGTGTCCTACTCTCCCTCTCTCCTCTGTGGATGAACACAGGAACCAAAACCATGTCCCCCACTAAAAGAAACCCAAACAGGACCATCGCTGTGCCTAAGGGGACAAGGGGCTCCGCTATTTGAGAGAAAAGTCAGTAATTCAGTAGCAGTGTCATCAACAGGTTTTTCCACATACAGCTTAAGATTTCAGAGACCAAACGTCTAACTGCCTACGAGGCTTACTATTCGAATTTTCCGTTCCACCTTAAATGGTGCAGCAGTTAAGGTGGACCGTGAAATTCGAATAACGAGCTAACTTAAGCTTCGTTTACTGCTTTGGGTCTGACTCAAATTTGTGAGCAAATAAAAGTGTACGTGCCGCTAAATAACGACAAGTGTCATGGTGATGACTTACTATTCTTTAAAAATCTTTCTTTCTTTTCAAAACGTCCCTCTTGCTGCAGCGCTGCTCTCCTTCATCGGGCGGTTTTCAAATCTGACTCGCGCTACTGAACCACGACCGTTAATACAGCTAATGCTAACCGAACTAGCTCCGTTTTCACACCCATTTTCAGAACAAAAGACTGATGCAAACGAGAAGCATATGAGGGCGTCGACCGCTAAAAAGTGCATAGAAAGGTGATACAAAACGGAGTCGGGTGAAATGTTACTGAAACAAAGCGGAGAAGTGGCTCAAGTCCCATCGAGGCTAAACAACAAGCGCGCCGAAACACTTTCAGTCATCCCCGTGCAGCGCCAGTGGGCGCGAGCGGATGACGTCTGGCTGCAACGGCCTTACATAACCACACGGTGTCGCTGTTACCCCAATAAAAACAACAACAAACGAAAGAAACCCTACTGGCACTTTTCATTATACATTTTTGATTAATATTTTTAATGTAGTTAAAAATTACGTAGTCTTGTACGCACAGAAAGGCAGACGTTGCTCATTTTTTTCATATTTTGACAAGCTGATTGACAGACAAATAGAAATTAATGTTACCAGCAAGATGTGAATATAGGAATGTCTCACTGGGCCAGTTTCCCAGAGCCAGATCAGGACTAAAACTAGTGTAAATATTGATTCACCATTTGCACTGCAGTTTATTCTGAGATGTAAATTAATCCACGTCTAGGAAACTGGCCTGTTATCCTTTATTAAACAACCCTTGCAATGAAAAACAGTATTTGTGTTTTTTTGTTTTGTTTTTTTTTTTGTAAAATTCATATAAGCATGGTATGGCATAATTTGATGGCCTGTACCTAAAGTAAAGGGAGCACTAAAATGTAAATTAAGTATAGCTTTTTAAAGTACAAAATAAAATAGAGCACAAAAATAAGTTACAATCCAAAAAAAAAAGCTGGAATGGTTAATATATGGTTTTTCGTAGGAAGGGCTCAATAGTTGAAGATGATGGAGGATTCAGGATCCATGCAAGAAACATCAGTAACCTTTGATATACAGATGATACAACACTCAGTGGAAAATCTGGAAGACCTGAAGGCCCTTATAAGGAAGATTAAAGAACAGAGTAAAAAATGGGTCTTCAGCTCAGTATGAAGAAGACTGAGGTTATGACAACAGGAAAAACTGCTAACCCTACTATCTGATGGAAAAGATGTGGAAAAGGTGGACAGCTTTTGCCTATTCAGGTCAATTATGAACAACAGAGGACCCAGCACTCAAGAAATATGCACTCACCACTCGGCAGAACAAGGATGAAGAAGCTTGAAAAGATCTTCAAACGCAATGGCTGTGGTCTGATCTGTGGTTCTTTATGGATATGAAAGCTGGTAGTAAAGGTGAGAGACTGGAAAAATATAGATACCTTTGAACTTTGGTGTTGGTGAAGACTTTAGAACTTTGGATGGCAAAGAAAAAAATGAGTGGATCCTCAAAACAATCAAGCCTCACCTCTCACTCGAAACCCAGACAACCAAACTGAAGCTCTTATTTTGGACGTATTCTGAGAAGAACTGATTCACTGGAAAATACCATTGTGCTTAGAAGAGAATGACCAACAACAACAGGGATGGATCCAATCAGAGTAAACATGAATCAGCCATTCAGAAGCCTGAAGGCCCGAACAGAAGACAGGACGTTGTGGAGATACACTATCCATGTGGTCAGCAGGAGTCGGACACAACTTGACAGCACCATACATTTCTAATAATAATAACAATAATAACAATAACAAAAGTAATAACAATAATAATAATAGAAAAAATATTGTTTAGGGTTTATAACACAATGAATACTCACTCTATGTCATTTTGTATGCAAGGAACAGTGAGTATATTTCATTTTATGAGAGTTGTGAATATATAGCAAGCAGTGTGTCACTTCTCTTTGCACCTTGACCTCCTGACCTTACAGTCAGACACACTAAGCAAGCAGAGATCCGTTTTAATAGCGTTTTTCCTTAGCCAGTTTTGTGCAGTTGGTGTAGCGTGGTGGGCAGCAGTACCACTGACCTCCATGCACCTGACTGGGTTTCGATTCCCCACTTGGGCAGGCACAGTAAGAGTCTTTGAGCAAGACTCCTTATGCTATGTTTGCCCACTTCTATAACAAGACTAAACAATAAGTTGCTGTGGGTAAGAAGAAGAATGTAGAATGTAACCTACTGCACTGTTTGTGTTAGTAAATGATGAAGCCCTTCTGAGTTCATTTGGGTGTTTCCAAGCTGAGAGCACAGAACTGTCCAGTGCAGGTGCACTGCAGCAGTGTTTCTCAACCCTGGTCCTGGAGGCCCATCGCCCTGCACTTGCCCTGTTTTCCCTGCTCCCAACACACCTAATCCAACTAATCAGCTCATTAACAACTCATTATTGAGCTAAAGTGGGTGTGTTAAAGCAGGACAAGCACTAAATTGCGCAGGGCAGTGGGCCTCCAGGTCCAGGGCTGAGAAACACTGCACTACAGGACTGGAAGAGCTGGAAAACATTGAATTATGCGTTTATTAATAGCATGAAAAAGTCTAACTTTTCAGTTCAGAGGCTGACATAACTATGTGATTTGATGAATAATATCAATTTAGCCTGTCCAGTGTAAATCTGAACCAACGTACTCTTTTCTGAGGTTATTGCAGGTCAAAATGTGTTAAAGGTCAGGAGGTCAAGAGCAATAGTGGATTACAACTAGCCACTTGTTTTCACTGTTTGGGGCTAAATGGCTGTGTGTCTATGAGCCTCTGATAGTGACAGTGTAACAAAGTTCATGTATTTGTGTGTAAGTGTGTGTGTGTGTGTGTGTGTGTATGACAGGGGTAGGTGACAGAGCGAGCGAAGGAGCTCTAACGGTCGTGCCCTTCTGTCGGCTGGACCTGGCCTGTGGTTGCTAATCTCCACGTGTCATTCTGCTCCATTTCCCGCTCGTTTGGCCACCCAGATAAACCCGGTTCACCCCGAACGGAGGAAGCCAGCAACAGAAACCAGAGAGAGATGTGACTCGCGTGGCACCTTGAAAAAACAAGCCATCAGGGGCCCATGCCATCGCTGAAGCATCTCTCCTTCCCTTCTACATTTTTTTTTTCAGAGACTCCGGAAAACCAAAAAGCTGCCTGCGTTGCACAATGGGGTTCCAGCAGAGGCCCGAAGAGTTGAGCAGTGTGGTCAACGCTGAAAGAGTGAAACAGATGGAGGGAGGGGACAGAAAGGGAGAAATGAGGAAAGGAAGACTGTTGGGGTTGGTGAGGCTGTGACTTCCCTGTCCAGGTCATTGCCCCTTTTTGGCCAAGAATCAAGCATCCCTGCAGAGCTGAGTGTAGAGTAAACCTGTCTGTAGAGTGAACAGAGTGAATTAGAGGAAGCTGAAATACTGAGAGAAATGAGAAATGGGTTTTAATAGGTCATATATGTCTCATTTTCTTATCATTTTCAGCAGTACAGTCTTTGAGATAGAGAGAAATATTATGACGTTTCTGGAATTTCGGGCAAACTTTCCAGATGTGGGCTTGTTCTAGTGCTCTTATAGTAAAAAAAGGAAATAGTATGAAAAAAGGATGTACTCTCTTTTGATAGAGTACCTAATATTTCAACCTGTATCATTTTGCAGTGTTACTTAATGAGCTTGATTCTATATACATGATTAAGTCACTCATCTTCATTAAAGAATCCCACTCGTGTCTATTCAACTCAAAGTTCACACACTTCAACACCTCAATCTCACTCTCAATTATGTATTAGTTTTACAGTAGTTACTAATAATAATCCATAACATTGAGCCTGCTCATTAAAGGATAATTCCACCCATTTTTCATGCTTAAATGGTTCAGATGTAAACAAAGTCATTCAGAGTGGTTTGATATGAAACACTGTTCTAGAGAAACATGCAGAGTCAGGATTGTTCACAATGGTGGTGATAGAAGCCAGAGAAAGCCTCTAAAAGCTCCCTCACAGAAAGTTATTACATGAAATGAGTACAAAATACGCTGCCTGATGTCCTAAACATTGTTTTACGATAGGTCTGTAATAAGGTTTTTGTCCAAAATACTTTACTATTTTCATGGCAGATTGGTACTTATAAGGAATTACAAAGCAAAATAGTACCCAAAGCGATCTTTTCTTTAGATTTACCACTAACTTTTATCAACATTGTACACAAAAGAAAACAGAAGACACGTAAAGGTTTACTGGTGGTTTTGGATAGTAAATAAAATGGCTATATTTGTGTTGTAGACATGGTGACCCCTGGCTCCCATCACCACCACTGTAAAGAAATCTGATTTCATACATTTCTCTACAATGAACCATTTCAGACCAAACCACTCTGAATGACTTTGTTAACATCTCAACACATTTTGAAAAATCAGTGGAATTCACCTGTAAGGGGTTAGTATGATCCCAAAAGCCTTATTTACTTAGTTGAGGTGTTATTAGAATGGAATTGGAAGCTGTCCCTGGAAGAGGACTAGAGATACTGGCACTGGTGAAAAAAAACAGCTTCACTGTACTTGAACTGTACTGAAACATGTGAGTTGTGAATCTGTGGTAAAGCGAGGCTGAGGCAGAAAGACGGTTCAGACAGCTTTTAGAAGATTTGTTTCTCTATAGAAACTGAATAGATGTAATCTTTCCTCTTTTTGTCTCCAATTAGGTTGCCTTTATGTCAGTGCAGTACTATAATATTAATACTTCTTCCACTGTGTTAAAGGGGAATTCCACCAATATTCCAAAATTCCTAATATTATAGTTGAGATATAAGCAAAGTCATTCAGAGTGGTTTGGTATGAAATGCTACGTTCTAGAGAAATTTACTGATTCCTTCACAGTGGTGGTGATAGGAACAACACAAAAATAGCCATTTTATTTGCTATCCATAATGGCCAGTGAGCCTTACAACACCCTGCATGAACCACTCTGCCATGAATCCATTTGAAACATATGTTTTATACCAACATGTTATCTTAAAACTGGTGTAAAACAGTGTCTCAGGCATCAGGTAAAGTATTCATGACCATTTTTGTAGTAATGTCTGTTTCCCATGACCGTTACACTGCAAAAAATGTTTATTGGCAAGTAAAATGGTCTTAAATGTAGTCTATATATCTAATATTTCTCATTTTGAGATTGTTGTAAGCTTATTTCAAGATATTGTTCGCTTGTTTTGAGTAATTTTAAGTTATCGCACTATAGTGGCAGATAATTCGGCTTGTTTTAAGAAACATGCTTGAAACAAATAAAATTACCTGCCAATATAGTGAGATAATTTTACTTGGTAAAATTACTTTAAACAAGTATAAAAAATATAATATT